TCCAATAGTGCTAAGAAAGCGTCGGCAGTGAGTCCAAATGAAATAATTTAGCATCTAAAGTAACTCTATGAAAGAGACTTGATATGGGGGGGGGGGGGGGGGGTGAAACTAACCCCGGGGTCCAACTAGCCCCGGTCTCCCCTAACGTATGTCTCGGGTCATTTAATTTTAATTTTTATACCGCGTTCCGATATATTTTGTAGTAGTAAATTAGATGTACGATATATTTTGTAGTAGTAAATTAGATGTACAATGTATAACGTAAGGTTGTTTTTATAAATATTTAAAGTATTGCGTCATGGGCCAGGCTAATACTAGGTACGTATGTTCCCTAGAAAAATTGTCAAAATGTTTCATTTTGTTCAACTACTTGGTGCAAGAGCAAACAATGTTTTCTTTTGCTGACCGAAAAAAATATTGTGATACCAATGATAATTTGACATTTCTGATATAATACTTGGAACACGAGGGGATAAATAATTTATTTAATGTTTATTTTACTGTCGGTAGGATGTATATTCCCGGGTTTTTAAAATTTTCAGTGACAAGCAAACATAAGTTGCTCAAAGACAATTAATTGCTCTATACAGATTTTTATAATTTTTTACAACGTTATAGGCCCTACTGGTATTAAAGGCCAAAACCAATGATGACTGAATTTTCAAAGTGAGTAAAACGGGTACGTACGGATAAAATTTAGTCCCAAAATATTACACGTCCCTATACTCCCGTTACCGATAGATACATAAAGGAAAAACGGAAAAAACGTCTTTTTAGATTTAAATACCGATAGATCCGATTTTTTTCTGCTGTCCTATATATTTGCGTTCCTATAGATATGACGTCCTTATAAACCCACGTCCTTTAAATCTGCATACCTATAGATCCACGTATTTTTAGATCCAAATACCGATAGATCCATTACAGGTACACTATTGCTCGAAATGGTTGGTATACTACTCAGTACATAAAATGCACTTCTTTAAAACGGCAGTACGCAGTCAGCAATATATTATTCTACTAGATCGTTTTCACACAATACTCAGTGAAAGAACATAAAAAGAACAAAAGTGTGTTCTATATTTCACAACGCTTAATTACTGTTCTAGCGTCAGAACACTGTTTAAAGCGTTCTCAAAATGCAACATTCGAACACGTAAAAAGTGTTCTGAATTTACATGTAAATGTGTTCTAAACAAAACAAAACAAAAAAGAACATAAAAATGTGTTCTAAATTTCACAACGCAAGTTGATATGGGCCTTTTAGCCGATTGCGATGTCAAATAGATGGATCTAGCGGTACCTGGATCTAAAGATACGTGGGTTTATAGGAATCTGTTGGTGGATCTATCGGAACGTAAATTTAACGAGACGTAAATCTATTGAGACGTGTATGTATAGAGACGTAGGCCTATCTATCGGGGCGAATATTTTATTGGGACGTTTATCTATATGGCGGACCCCAGTAAAACGTTTCACAGATGGACGTTTTGCATTTGTGACAGTAACGTATGCTCCTTTTTGGGGTTAGACGATGAATTATTATTTTTTTATTATTCGTGGTTCCAGGAGGGTGAAACTTTGATACAAACTTCTTCATGTGGGACCTTAATATAATCAAACATAGTTTGTAATCTGAGCACTAAATAGTTTACTAGCATGCCTGTGACATCAGTTGCACCTCTATATTGGGTTTGGGTGTAAGATGTGATCGGTTTCCGACGCAACTCCCTAAATCCCCCCTTACACTGGACGGCGTCCTTTCTGCATCCTCCGTGCGACCAAGAAACTGGCATCGCTGTGGTTGTTAAAAGGAGGCGACAGGCATCGCTTTGGTTGCAGAATGAATGCTCAATGATCGGCCAGTTGTCGGCACTTTAAGAATTTTTTTTACTCTCAAACGGGGCCGTTCTCAGAGACGCAAAAAAGACGCCGACCTGTGTAAAGGGGGCTTAATCAAGTATCTGACATGGTTGACGACTAGGCTACACCATCCTCTGGCGACTTTTGTTAATATTTTTAAGAGATATGAATCCCTTATGCACGATGTTCCAGTAAACACGAACCTTTTTTCGTCTCTTTACTGATAAAAACAAGAAAATTTGATGATATCATATAATCATCACCACTCAAAAATTCCATCCAGGGTCACTCATTTCACAAACACGCATCCTCTTGTTTACAAGGCACCAGTTTAATCACAAGCTTCTCTGTATTCTACTCTACGCCAGGAGACAATGTGTTCGTCCATTCTATCATTCAGCGAGTTACTGAGCACTACACAAGCTATTGCAGTACACTAGCTCCTTCTGAATGAAACATGTCTACAGTTTTATTTCCTCATATCCCAACAATTTCCAATACCTCCACCTACTCTGGGGCAATGTTTTGTATGTCAAGAATGCAAATTATACTTTACAGGAAAAGAGGGCTGTGACTATCCGATGTGGAACCACTAACATTTGCTGCAACAGTTTGCCCGCTACTGTCAATTAAAACAACATTACAATTAGCATATCATTAATTCACTATTATTATAACTCCAATCCCATTATGAACTTTACTATGCAGCTTTTACATTTTTTTCAGAATATGGAATTTGAAAAAAAAAACAAAAAAAACACCATTACACAAACACCAACTTTTCATGAAGTTGTTAAAACATGCAACATGCTAACAATTATTAGCCATGGATAGAGCGTTAATGTATTAAAGATAATGTTCATAATTTGAAAAGACATTAAAAGGAAGAACAATGCACTTGAAATATATTGCAAACCAACCGCTTTGTCCAGAACTTAAAGAAAATGCGCCTTTTAGGCTTACCATAGAAAGTGCCATGGTGGTTTTATTTTCAAGCTCTTCACATTTCAATATGCAAAGAGTCAAATATTGACATTATTTAAGTCAGTTCAGTTTGTGGTCAATGTGGTAAAAATTATAATTAAATCAGGCAGTTGATATTTGAAATCATGCTGCTTGGAAAAGAATACAACAAATAATTGTATATGTAAAAGGGTCTTAAGTTCATTAGTTTGCTAGAAAACTTCATGATTAAGACTCTGTATCACTTGGGGGAGGTTCGCTGGGTGCTTTCTTTTCAACCTTTTTCTTCTTCTTTTTTACTTGCTTTTTGTCTCCTTGTGTTTCTTTATCATTATCCTCAGGCATTAGTGAGAAAGGTGGTGGTACAGCATAATCAGATACAGCCCCCAGACCCCTGGCTGAGGCATGAGCAGCAAGAACATCTGCAGCCTGCTTGGTTTCCACCATCACACGAGCATCCCTCAGCCAATCACTTGCTACTCTCTTAGGCATTCCCTGCAACTGGCCTATATATTTCACAGCATTCTCAAAGTTACCTCTGTCCATAAAGTATTTTGCACGTGCTAGCAAACTTATGGTGTTCACCTCTTCTGGCGCCATGTCTGAATTTGGTGATGCGGTGTATCCAGTATCGAAGATAAACAGCTGCTGGAGCCAGGATAACAGGTAGAGCATTGGACCAGCACCATTTTCTCCAACCAAAGCTACTCGACGACAAACCTTGTACACTTTCTCAAATCTGCTCTTCAGAGAATCTGCACTCCACACGCCCTTGTCCACAGCCTCACTTGGCACACCATTCAACACACTGGCTACAAAGGGGTCCAAGCCTGCTGCATCCCTAACTGCAGCAATCTCCTCCTCCAGGGGTTTCTTTGGATTTTCAGCATCCCCAGTCCCCGTGGTGATGGCATTCAATAAAGCTTGGCTAGCCAACCAATATTCATGTGCTGTGCCACCTTCCATTTCCTTTAAGGCTTGACCTGAATCAAATGAAAAGCATTAACTAAATAATAATAATAATAAGAAGAAGAAGAAGAAGAAGAAGAAGACATTTATGCTCCAAATGCTGCAATGTCATTTATGCCAGCTCTCTGCACTACATATATATATATAAAGAATACAATTATAATGCAAATAATAATATTGTATTTCCTTTACAAGGAATGCCTAGTGTGATTGATTATTTGAGTTGGGGGGGATCCTTTTGCATAGCCATTTAAATATATCTGGATATGTCCATCATGGTCTTTGCTCTTTATGGGTTCATGAGTCATTTCTCACTATATATTTATGTAATAATAACATCATTGTAACTAGAGGATCAGAGGTGATATTCCCTCCGAGTCTTGTAACACTAGCCAGAGTAGGTGCATTTGTATGAAAAAAAAAAAAAAAAAGGTATATTTAGCATTTTAATTTCAAACAAGGGTGCATTGCAACGACTACCATACCTAGACTGGTGCACCGATGAAGCCCAAAATTTACGTGAATCGAGTTGAGATTATGTGCAGCCAAAATCCAAGAGATGGGTAAGCAGGATCTTGTCGTTTAGGAGAAGATGTAAAGGTGACATAGCGGTGGGACCAAAACCATGTGTACCCCCATATGCCAGGCTGGCGGTACAATAAAACAATATTGTACAATTTTGAAAGTTGAACTTTTACCTTCAAGCCTGTGACCAAGAGGGCAAATGAATAACTGATAATTACAAATTAATAGCTATAAATTCAAATTCACTATTGTGTATTATGCGTGTAGATACCTTGTATAGCCAATTCCATGGAAAACAGCCTGCCAGCCAATGAGGTTATTTCCTTATTCAAGTCATTGTGCTTCTTTCTAGCAGCCTCTTCTGCCATCTTGTCAAATTCGGCCTCCAAGTCCTTCCGCTGTGTTGCTAGTACTTCTGTTAAATGGTCATTGTATGCTGCAGCTTGGCGAGCCAGTGCTTGACGAAGCTCCTTCTCAAATTCAATTCTTGCATTAGTTTCCTGAAATAAAAAAGTATTATACCAATACTAAAGAAATACTAGGTTAAATTGTTCAAGCTTGGAAATCCTTTTAAGTGCACAAACAGCTTATGTAAAACAGTTTGTTTTTAACAATCTTTTACTATTAGTTAATAATGAAAAGTAAAATTCTCTTATTTCAAAAGCTACATAATCATTAAATGGATTTATAGTAAAATTTCATTAAACATGTTTATCTTTTTTATTAGCTTTCAAATTACCAAATGTTTTTTCTCTATTTCAAATTTGCTGATCAGAGCTTCTTTCTCTATTTGCAACCTAGAATCTAGCAGTTTTTCATCTGTAGTACGCTGTTGTTCCAGTGTTTCACCCACAACTTTTAACTGTGAGACCTCATGTTCTGCCAGCTGCTTCTGCAGTTGATCAATTCGTCGGTGAGCATGCGAAAGAAGGGAATTGAGCTCTTCTACACTGAGTTTCTGACCTGGAAAAATATAAAATTGTTGCAATATCTCATGTTTCTGGCATAAGCCAAGGTTTCTAAGAGCAGGAGTCTAGTACATACAATTGTGTTCCAGTATAAATTTTGTGAGTAAAATAATGCAAAAACTACCACTCCCAATAACTAGCATTCACTGATTGTGTGTTTTCAGTTAATATCCTTAAATTAAAACAAACTTAAATCATCAAATAATGTACAAGGCAATTCACCCTTTTCTCCTAGTTTTACATCTGGTACTATACTCTCCATCTCTTTCTGAAACTGGTCTTTTCCTTTTTCCACGCGGTCCTTATAATGATGCAATATATTTGACTCAGACAAGGCATGGCTGACCTAAAAGAGAAAGAGAATTTCAAACTAACATAACTCTTGTCAATTACTTTGTCTTAAACAAATGCAGAACTGAAAACAAAAATTAATTGAAATCTGCAAATTAGGAATTTTACATCATATCATATCTCAATATTAGTACTAGTTACAACAAGAGTCATCTACTGTATGTGACATCCAAGAGCCTAATGTTTGCTCTTGTATGTTGCATACAGTGGACAATGAGTCGTTGTAACTGACTTATACCACACTGGTGCTTCAAAAAATAGGAAGAATGCACAGACTGAAGCGTATGAAAATACAGGGGAGCCTGTAAATGAATTACAAGTGCAATTATCCTATTGTCTGAAGGCCCAGCCATGGTATAATTACATACAATATTATTAAGTTTAACAGTTACCTACTTTTGCAACTACTCCATCTAGTTCATATTTTAGGTTGCTGTACTGGTCTTGGGCCTGTGCCAATATCTCATTTGCCTCAGTTTTAGCTTCAGCTTTGCCATCTTCTATTGCCTTTTTCAGCATTTCTAATTCATCACTAAATAGTTTAGAAGTAAAATGTTATAAGAAACCATCATTTTAATTAAATACCTAAAAGAAAACAAATTATGAGAAATAACTAAATGCAATATCTATCAGAGTTGGTTAAGAAGCTGACAAAGCATACTTATGGAGATCTAATAGATAAAACATGCATGCGTGTGGGCATGCACAGAAATACATAGACTCACAGACATTCACATAGAAAATTAATAAATATCCTACTGAGCAAACTGTCGCATTCTTTCTGCCTCTTCTTGAGCTTTCTTTTTCAGCTCACCAGCATGGAAAAGCTCAGCTCTATGGGATTCTTTATCACCCTAAATTAGAAACAATGGTACAAAAACAAGCTTGAGGAAAAAAACTAAAAAATCATTATTTTAGACATTTTGTTCTGACATATCTGATGTGTTCAAAACTTAGTAACTAGGTGAGCCAGTTTTTCATGTATTACACATCAATAATCTTACATACAAATGTTACACATGATAAAGATGACAAAAATAAGTGTGAAAACATCTATGGCCACATTCAGAACAGATGATCTGCAGACTAACTGGTCCATGGATCAAATACAGCCAACCCTACTTGAAAGCAAGGACTCCCTGCCTACCACATGCGCCAGGCCTGCAGGGGCCTGGCAATTAAACAGATTAAATCTCAGCTCTGAGTTAGCTAGGACAGTTAGCATGAGAATCATCTGTTGTGAATGTGGCCTATCTAAAACTTATTTTCCAAGTTTGAAGGTTTCAACATAAAAAAATAGTAAAAACTTAATGATTAAAGAAAATCGTTTGCTACTGCTATTTCAATTCCTAAGATATTTGGTGACCAATTCTAATATATATAATTCTAAATGTTCTGACTTTGCCATAAATTAAATGATGCAGTATTAAAAATGTGTACCTCTGAAGACTCATCCATGGTCTTTCGGAACAGTTTAGTATGATTTGCAATGACCTCTGCAGCGTGATGGTGAAGGTCTACTGCACGCTGAACCAATTTCTTTGCAGAAGTCACAGACTTGTCCACTTGCTCTTCAAGCTCTATTGAGAAAATAAATAAGTAAACAGCAAAGCTGGCAAATATTCAGGGTCCCGTTTCACGAAGCAGTCGTTAGTTAGAATAACTAACTATTGAATTATCTAGCTAACAAGAAAACTTAGCACAACAATGTGATAGAAAAAAAATGAAAAAAAAGAAAGAAAGAAAAAATAATAAAATAATCCCATCATGCCAACATGTCTTTTTCTTAAGCAAAGCCATTAAGCAAATTTGAAGTAAAATAAAAATATGGCTTGATAATCATAGGACAAACATTGCCAAAATACACGTAAAAAACAATTATTCCTGTAAAAACAATCTGATCATACTGATTTTTGAAAGGAAACTTTTTAACCAAACAAAGCCACTTGGTAAATTTAAAGCAAAATTTATACAGACTGATGTATTTATCAGCGACTGCAAAAAGAACAGACACAGTGATCAGAATAAATACAGCCACATACCATGTCAGTATATCAAAAGAATGGTTTAGCTTTATTTAGTCAAATTGTGAAGAAGGAACAATGTTTTCACATACAGTGAAGATAAGCCTGGTACTGAAGACTCACTTTGTGTTTTTATATAACTTTGTAGATGATATTACCTTTATTTCTTTCCATTATTAAATCTTCTTCTTCTTTGATCTTATGGTCTACCTCCAATTTGTCTTGTCTTTTTCTTTCCAAGTCCTGTTCTTTTTCAATTTCCTTTGCAACTTCTTCCGGAATTTCAACTTGCAAAGTAATAATAATAATAATAATAATAATAATAATAATAATAATAATAATAATCTCTTTCACACACTTAAATTACAACTCTTTACAGAAATTGCACATTTATTCCCAATAAAATTATATTTTATGTCTTCAAAACATAACCTGTTAACATTTTAAAAAATAAAGATTTCTCTTATTATCAATTTAAAGAAGACTGCTGTATATTTGCACTTTCAAATTCAAGAAAGCATACATTATCTTACTTTTCTTTTTCTTTGCTTTAACAGCCACACCCTTAGGAGACAAATCCAGCTGTGCAGAACTCTTTGCTTCAACTTTCTCAGGAACTTGCTCTATGTCAGCCCTGTCTTCAGACTGCATTATAAATTTTAAAAAAAGCTGCATTGCTTCTGCACAAGTTGAAGAAGTCCAATATAAACATCAAAATGTGTACTAAAGAGTAACAGTCTTATTGTGAAAATTCTGGTAATGGGAGAAGAATTGGTTTAGCTGAAAAAAGTTTTTGACGAATGAAGTTTTATCAACTGACTTAACTAATTAATTATGTTGCATGAAACTGATCAATCATCCTGCCATTTTTTTCTTTTTCTGTTTTATTATTATTTTTTTTTTACCATACAGGTATCTATATGATGCACATAGAAATGCACACATTTATAAAATTTTAGAAGCAAATTAGCATTACTATTTGATTAAAATATTTTCAACTACCTTTGGTGTTGATCCTGATAAAGCTGGGGATCCTCGTAAGATGTTATTTCTAATATAATTTAAAAAAGATCAAATATATAACCAAACATTAGTTGATATTTTTCATAATAATGTATTCAAACTATTATCTGGATTAAATCCAAACAAAACTACAAATGACAAAATAATAGCTTATCTGAGGAACTGTTAAGGCCAAAAATTAAAGCCTTTTGTCTGTTATTTATTTTGTCATACTCAACATATGTATGCAACTAAGTGTCTATTTATATCCTAAAACTTTTGCTCACTTAGTTATGTCTTTCTTGGCTGGGAGGTATTGAAAAGCTAAATCTGCATATGGCACTTTTTCCTCCAAGAATTCCCTATAGGTAGGTTCATACAGAGCATAAGCTACATTTCCTCCAACACCAACCACTGTCAACCCTGTGAGAGGAAGTATCCAGCTACCAGCACCTCCACTGGAAAGATAAAAAAATATAAATATAAACACTGAATGTAATGTAAACACTGAATATTCATTGGGCATCTAATCCTTCTTATTTTCTTCAATAACTGGAAATTCTTACTAATACTTAGGTATATGAAAATAATCATAGGTGTATGCTATGTCACAATGCTCAGTTCACACACAAACACACACACATACGCACGCACACACAAACACACTAGTACCCTTACCCTCCTCCTCGGGATGGTGGTGGTGGAGCAGCATTCTGCCACAATCTGTGGGTCTGACTAAAACCTCGTTTACCAAGGCCTAGTAGTGCATTGGCCTTAACATTAGGACCCCTGGGTTTAGCTGGTCCAGAAGAGCACTGTTAGTAAAAAAATTTTTTTTTAGTATAAATTTATGTTTTTATTGAGCTTTATAATGATATAAAAAATTTAATAAAGTATAAATTCATGTTTTTATTGAGCTTTACATGGTCCCACAGCTTCATTTTGTCTTGAAACAAAAAATATCAACTATATTAAAAATATCAACTAATGTTTGGTGTCGTCCCTGCATACAGTAATTAACTCTAATCAATTCAACCAGTCGAGGGACGATGCGTGGGGTGCCGAGCATGAGAGGCCATTACAGGATTAAGCAGTCTTCCTTTCATGTAGGTCCGCCATATTTAGGTCGAGGTCTAGCTAGCACTCAGCTCTTTTAATTCTTAATTGGGGCATACAGTGGTGGAATAAAGCCTTACCTAATATGCGTAGCATTGTAATTTGTAAGGCATTTAAGATAAGGCAAAGTAATCGCCATGTTTTTGGGGCTTATGTATACCTTCTTTGACTCTAGCACCAGCAGTGAATATAACTGTACTTTCAAATCGCTGCGGACAGAGTCAGGAACTTAAAACTACAGTATATGTTTGATCACGTAGTCATAATTGTATGGGTGAAGAAGCACACCACCGACCGGTGTCAACGAACAGATAAATTTCGTCACTAATAGTGATGTGGTGACACTATTTATGCAACATACTGATGTCGTTTGATGCATTATCTAGCTGAATCAAACTGCCATAGGCATATTCCACTTAACAACTTACGGAAATGTTCCTTGCAATTTGCTTCGAAGGTGCCCTCCACATTTCGGTGCATCCACACAATATGGCTGAATGGGCGAGAGGAGTCTGGGTACTCACAGCTAGCGCAATTAAATAAATATATATTGCATTAATAATTAGAGACGATTTGACAACAATGGTGGATGCCTTACGTTCTTAATTGGATTATTATATTTATATATTTATATATTCTGGATTCAATATGTTTTGAACACTAACTGTTATATGGTCATTTGTTCTGGGAAACTCTATTCGAAAGGAAAAATAAGCTCTACATTACGGGTAAATCGAAATGAGATGTAAGCTCAAGTGGCAATTGAAACAGGATGAAAAAAACTCAGTGAAACTGTGATATAATATTGCAGTCTCTTAGGACATTGTGTTTAACACTTTCCTCGGCAGAGGATGGATCCAGATCCTTCATCGTCAAGCTTGGAATCTAAGAAAGACATTGCTGCTGGCGCTACAGAATTGAACATTTCTGGAACAAGTAATGAAAGCTTGGAAGAAAAGCACGAAGATAAGGGCGATGTCGAGCCAGATGTTGACGAAAAACACAAAGGAAAAAGTGAAGTTGACGTTGAAAAACAAGAGAGAGACGATACGCATGCAATGCTTAAAAGAAAGAAAGAAAAGCAGGACGAAGAGAGGATGAAAATGCAGTAAATATTAGAATAAATAATATTAGTCCTTATCGATACCATCATTATTTATNCATGCCGGGTAAGGTATTGACTCAATTCAATTTTGATCTGTTGAGAGATCAGTGACCATCCCCGCCCAAGTACCATTTAAAAGACTTTAAAGCAGAGAAGAGAAAAATAATTGACGACGCAGACTTTATGATAATGTCGAGCAATAATTTATTGTCAAAATCAATCACTAATTCTAAACTATACCGGATTTATTGCAAAAGGTAATTTGCTCGGACACATGTACAGGTACCGGTATGCCTGCATTCGATTTTGATTGCCGGTGTAACATGAAAATCTGACTCCCATGAAAATCTGACTCCCCCAGTCAGATTTTCATAATGAAATTCTGACTCCCCCCATGAAAATTTGACTCCCCCTCCACAAAACTTCATAAATCTTATTTTATTTGAGTATATGACTGTGATCTTGTAGTATGTAAAATGGAGGATACATTGGCACTTTTTTTTGTTTGCAGGTAAATATTTTCATGAAAATTAAGTAAATTAAAAATCTGCACTTAACCGCAAATTGTCTTAGTCCATGAAAAAAGGCCTTATTTAAGGATTTGGCTGCACCCCCCGTCAGGCAAAGGTTTTATGATTGATTCTTGTAGTTTAGAACCTGAATTTTTCATTTCTGCTTGTTTCCGGCTTGAAAAAGTGTCCGTTTGTACCGGAAACAGACCAAATCCAAGATGGCCGCCAGTAAATTCATGTGTCAACTGTAAATACAAAAATTGATTTAAAAGTTACTTAACAACTTAATATTATCAAAATTTGCACTGATCACAAGTACTTTGGCCTTCTTTGATTTTTCAGGCACTTTACATTTTTCAAGATGGCGACTGAATCCAAGATGGCGGCCATTTTCCTTACTTTTTGTGAAAAAATACAAATACCTAAATTTGAATTTTTTTTTATTAACCAAAAATTAGGAATATTTTACATGTTTTGATGTATTTGAATAAGTTGAAGTCTATATTTTTAATTTTTACCAGTTAATTTATCACAAAATTGTACATTTGAACACAGATGGCTCTAATCCAAGATGGCCACCACATAAAATGGGCTTTTTGTTTTGATATGTCAACAAGACTTTCTTAGTATAAAACATCTCAGACTACTTAATGGAGGATTTATTGCACAGGTCATGGTATGAAATGTATGACTGAATAATTTAAATTGTTNATTTGAACACAGATAGCTCTAATCCAAGATGGCCACCACATAAAATGGGCTTTTTGTTTTGATATGTCAACAAGAGTTTCTCAGTATAAAACATCTCAGACTACTTAATGGAGGATTTATTGCACAGGTCATGGTATGAAATGTATGACTGAATAATTTAAATTGTTTTGAGATTTTGTTCAGGGTATAAAAATCCAAAATGGCCGCCAATTTCTGAATTCAAAAAGTACATTATTTTGATTTGCATGTTAAAAAACATTAAATTGAATAATTAGCAAATTAAAAATATTTATTTTTAGATAAATTTACCTGTATTGCAATCTCATTTTGTTTCTGGGACACTTTAATCTGTCAAAAAGTGGTTAATTTTTCTTCATTTATCATGATTCCAAGTTTGCCATTGATAAAAATGAACTGCACGCTACCCGTATGGACAATACCACATGTTGTGAGCCTTACTTAAAAGGCTATTTCTGAGCTTTATTGTTGAAGTATGGAATGGAATATATAACTGAATGATTCGATGCTTTTAGGCTTGTAGTTTAGGGTTGAAAAGTCCAAAATGGCCGTCAATTTCTGGATTCAAAACAAACGACATTTTGATTTGCATGTTGAAAAGCATCAAATTGAATGATGGGAAAATGATTAAAGACTATATTTTGATAAACTGCAGTGTCCTTTTACTGTTTAGAATCTAATTTTTCCAAAAAGTAATTATCTAAGCTCCAATCATCAAAAAAATCCAAGATGGCCACCAACAAAAATGAATTTTAGGTAAACATGGATGAAAACACACTGTTGAGTCGTAATTTTATATATATATATATATATATATATATATATATATATATATATATATATATATATATATATATATATGTCTGTGCTTAATAAGGTTGAGTGAATCTCAAATGCTTTGCCGTTTTCTTGAACAGAAATTGATGCATAACACACAAGGGACAGCAATTTTTTTCAGCAGCAACTATATGACAATTTTCAATATTGCAGACAAAATGTATGCCCAAAATGCCCTAACAAGATTGACGTACATCATTTACAACTTAAGGATCAATAGTTTGTTATATGGGGGGTGGGCTGTAAAATTAAATTTTCATATGATAGCACTTCTATTGTTACATTTCAAATGGACTTGGGTTACTGGTACAGTGCTTGTTGGAAGTTCCCTGTCAAGCTTGACGAAAGAGCCAGGATCTCAGTCAAAAAAGGGACTTACTAGTAGTAGTGATAAGATTTCTCACATTCTGCTAGGTGTTGATCGTAAAGAAGAATCAGAATTATCCTAATCTCAAGCAACCAAAAGGTAAAATCTTTAATTTATCTGAAAAAAAGGGATGGATAACATGCAGCTGTAGCATTATTCTACATGTATAAATCCGGGAAGCAATCACTATCATAAACTAAGGGTGCTTTCCCAGAGATTTAGATCAATCTATAGATTAACCCTGGGGGTTCATGCTAAATTGCAGTCAGCCAAGCGGGCACCATAGTTAATTACCCCCTTACAGCTTTTAGTAGGCGGGACAGACGCTTAAGCCGGCCAAGCTGACAGTAATCTAGTGAGACTCCCCACAGGGATAGATCGATCTAAAAATCTATGGTTATTGGGTGTAAGACCAGCAAAGAAGTTGCAAGAAAATGTCTGGATCTCCAAGAACATCTTTTGTCTCTTTAGAGAACAGTGCTGGATAATAATACATTCAGGGAACTCATGAAGTGGTGCTGCAAAGTGAAGTACATTGATGGTGAATGATGTATGGCACATGTAAGTGACGATGAAGGAGTTCAAGCACAACATGACAAATGATGTTTATGATACAATGTATATATAGGTGCAGGTAATTCTTGCACTTCACGGATAGGTACTGCTCAATATGTTCCATGAATTCTTTTAAAATCCAACATTATTCTGTTGAGAGAAAAAATATTTGGAGATCCAAACATTGGAGAAACACAGACTAAAACAAACTTTCTTAATAAACTAATTAACAAATAGATCACCACCAAAATCTACTTACTTTTAGCCTAAAAAATGACCTATCCTGAACACTTCATTTAAGTCTATCCTGAAATTTTTGAGTTAGGCTGATAACAATCTGAGAAACCATAACAAATGGACAA